AGCATCCACGACTACGAGGATGGCAACTGTGAGCAGAATGTAAGCAACCACGAGGAAAGCATCCACGACTATGAGGAGAGCACAGAACTCCAGGCTGACTACGTCAAGATGGAGGGAGACATAATGTTTCCTCCTCCTCCAGTCGTCAACAGCATGAGTGGTAGTGTTTTGGAGGCCCAAAGCTACGAGAACCTAGCTGAGGAGAATGACTATGTGGAGAGCGTGGACAATCAACTGGACTATGTGAAGATGAATGAGGAAGATCAAGCAGGAGACAACACCTCCACGGAAGACTATGATGACATCGGGGGTGAAGAAGAGGATGAGGAGGACTATGATGATGTGGGATAAAACCCGACACAACGAGGTGGAGACAGTTTTGAATTCTGCTGAGCAGAGATTATCCTTACTGAAGATTTCTCTTGTCTTTTTGTATTTTTTTAATAACATTCATTGAAAAAAAGAAAATAATTGAAGTACTGAAGACACTGAAATCTGCCGAGTGGTGTCGAGACAACTGGTTTGATCTTTAAGACGGTGATTCTTTTTAATATATCGAAAAAATTCTGTTTTTCATCTGAATGTTGGAATCGTTTGTTTTTTACTGAATACATTAACAAGCAGTGACTTGCACAGGGTCCCAGATTAGGATGATATCTGGATTTGCAAACTACACATGAAAGCAATCAAACTATATTTCTTTGTCTTCTTCTGACTTAAATGTCAGAAGAAACTCTTTAGTTTTAAACATGAAGCTTTTGCATATATCATGTGTAGATCATTCCCATGCTTTTTGAGAAGGAACAGACTATGTTGCTGGAGGCTTTCGTTATGCTCAGTTTGGCAAGATTTGGTTCTTTTTTAATGAGCTGAATCAACTAGATCAACAGTGTAAGTAAGGTTTTTGCTGTATGAAACACAAAAAACTATTGGAGCTTCAAATTTGATTCAAACTAAACATAAGACATGAAATCTGAAAGTCTGTAACTGCAAGAGCCTGAGATGTTTTTCTTTCTTTATGTGTTTGTTGATTTATTTATACACATGAACATTGATATTAGATTAATATGTAATTTTTGGGGGTTTTTTTTGCTTCTTTTCTAAACTAAATATCAGTGTAAAGGGGGTCTCCCCCTGTCCAGATCCCAAACATTATCAGTGAGGCGTCTGACTATCGATCATATGGTGGGTTTGTTTACTTTTGTATATCAGTTGGTCCGTTTGAGTGGTTAATAAGTGGGCAGTGATGACATGTTTGCATGATCAGAGCCCGAGCAGTGAGTGAGTGGGGCACAGGGGCAGTGATTACAGTGGTTGGTTATATGTATGCACAGTATCTATACAGTCCTGTGAAAAACTAAGGATTGATTTGTGATTCAGTAGCTTATAGATCCACCTTCAGCAGCAATAACTCAGAGTAACTGTTTTGTGTATGACTTTGTCATGGTTGTGAAAAAACGTTGCTTCACGTCTTTTGTTTACGTACAGCTCTCTTGAGGATGCGCCACAGCATTTCAGTCGGGGTCAGGTCTGCACTTTAATTTTTTTCTTTTATTCACCATGATGTTGTAGATTTACTGCTGTGCTTGGGATCATTGTTCTGCTGAGTCAGCGAATTTGGGCCACGCTTTAACTGCTGGACAGATGGCCTCACATTTGACTCTAGAATACTTTGGAAAATACTTTGGCACACAGAGGAGTTCATGGGAGACTGAAAGGTGTCCTGTGACTGTGAAACAAGCCCAAATCATCATCCCTCCATCACCGTGCTTCACAGTTACTATAGTGTGTTGGTTTTTGCCAGATGTACTTTTGCACAATGTCCTTACATTTGCAAGGACATTGTTCTTGAAACTTTGTAACCCTAATCCATGCCACCATGTTTATTTTTAGACAGAAGAGACTTTCTTCTGGCAACTTTTTGAACAAACCATACTTGTTCAGTCTTTTTCAAACTGTAGGCAAGGCAAGGCAAGTTTATTTATTTAGCACAATTCAACAGCAAGGTGATTCAAAGTGCTTTACAGAGACATTAAAAAACAAAAACAAATAAAAAGCATGATTTAAAATGAGAAAAAAAGGAACAGTAGATAAAATCAGTAGTTAAAATGTACGTTTTGAAATTTAAGCTTAAAAGTAAAACAGTGCGGATTTGGTGCTTTATTCAAATGCAGCTGAGAACAGGTGAGTCTTCAACCTGGATTTAAATAAACTGAGTGTTTCAGCTGATCTGAGGCTTTCTGGGAGTTTGTTCCAGATATATGGAGCATAAAAGCTGAATGCAGCTTCTCCATGTTTGGTTCTGACTCTGGGAACTGATAAAAAACAGGATCCAGATGACCTGAGGGATCTGGAAGGTTCATACTGGGTCAGGAGGTCACTGATGTATTTTGGTCCTAAACCATTCAGAGCTTTATAGACCAGCATCAGAACTTTAAAGCCTCTGACGGACAGGCAGCCAGTGTAAAGACCTCAGAGCTGGACTGATGTGGTGCTCTTATTTGGTCTTAGTGAGGACTCGAGCAGCAGAGTTCTGAATGAGCTGTAGTTGTCTGACTGATTTTTTAGGTAGACCTGTAAATATGCTGTTACAGTACTGTACTGTCATGAACTTCAACATTTAACATGCTATCTGTCGCCCGAGATCTGGCACTGGGTTTTTGCGGTTTCATTGAGCATTGCACCGTGTGACCCTGGCTGAATTTCCTGGGACGTTTACTTCTGGGAATATCATGGCGTTATGTTAGCACATATCTAAATGCTCCAGATCAACAAACTGCCAAATCGTCTGCTTTTGTAGAGGTGCTCACTCTCTTGGCTGTCTATTAACTGGAGTTTCCCCTGATACATCCATTGGGATGTGAGTGTGTGAATGTTAGACAAGGTGTTTGGGTACAGAAAAAGCATGTGTGTGATTGGGTGAATGAGGTAGCAAAAAAAGCACTTTGAGTGCCCAGTTACAGTAGAAACGTGCTGTATAACTCCATTTACCATTTGATTCATGTGGAAGCAGTAAAGATTTACTCAGTATCTCACAGGACTGCTTAGAGTCCCACATGACTGTGTAATACCTACCCATATTTAAGCTGTATGTCAGCAGGAACCAGGGTTATAACCTTATGTGTATTTATATGAGATGATGATGAGATGAGATAGCCTTTATTTGTCAGTTGCAGGTCTTTTGCCCACAACCGAGATGACAGACCTTGCCGACCATACATACAATACAAACATCACATTGGGGAGACAGGTCAGGCCAGGTAGCGAGGAAAAAAAACATTGAAATGTGCAACACAAAAGGATAATACAGGAATGCGCAGGTATCAACACACCATAACACAATAAACACAGACAAGCAACATGGGAAAGAGTTCCAGTGTGTACATCTGATCTGGGACAGCTACAATCTTTCGACTGGGCCTCCAGCTGACCCGATGTCCACATCATGTCCACACCTAACCCCCGATGTCACATATTTTGGGTGACTCATCACAGATTAGGAAGTTACCAGCTTCTTTACCTGTGCAGGTGGCAAGAGGTGCAGGTGAGGCTGGAGAGACATGAGAAACAATGAGAGGAGGTGGTAGATTGCTCTGAGGTTGCCTTTTGTCTTTAATTCATTGTCATTTGTTAATAAGATTTTTGTTAATAAATGTCACTTCTTTGCACACATTCCTGCCTCGAGAACTGCTTCATAAACACTCCTTTAAAAACTTTGTGGTCTCAACCACCTTCTGCGTGGGGTCTGGTCTGTCAAGGCCTATTATGAAATCTCAGGTGTTTTTGACTTTGTAATCTTGCTGTTTTGAAACTGGATGTGACGACCGAGCAAGCTGTGGCTCTAACTTTTAAACTGACTAACAAACCTGTCAGCCAATGCCCTGAGTAATCCTCCTTTCTAAAACTTAGAATGACTAAAATGTACAAAATGGACTCAATGTTATATCCGATATGATCTGTAATGACTGAGCCTTTTCGGTGAGTAGTATTGTGGGTAATTGTCTATATAACGGAAAAGCCTTTCTCTGTTATAATTTGATCATTTTGTCACTTTAGAGTCATGTAACATACTAAAATACTTCACGATTTATCGTTCTATGATAATATTACCATTTGTTTTATTATGCTCTGTATATTTCTTATAACCAACAAATATATGGCAATCTAATAGTGACTGAATATGTTTCCCTAAAAGTTTGTAATAGTCTATTTATAGCCTGATTTTTATCATTATTTTGTGCTACGAAGCTTCAGTTTTATCAAAAAACTATTTAAAATAACCAA